AGCAGAGACAGGAGCAGCAACAATAGAGCTCAGCAGCAGCAAAAGGAAAAAAGGCTGCTGCTGCTGCTGCAGCAGCATGTATATATTTTCACTCCAGCAGCAAGAGGAGACAGCCAGCGTTCTGTTTGCAGTTGCTGCAGCACTGTGTCTCTTCTTTGTCTCCTCATCTGTCTCCGTTTGCTTCTCTCTACACGAGCTGCCTATACACCCCAACACTAACGAGCTGCCTATACACCGCAGCAGCAACTAGCTGCTTATACACCCCAACACTAACGAGCTGCCTATACACCGCAGCAGCAACGAGCTGCCTATACACCGCCGCAGCAACAAGCTGCCTATACACCGCAACAGTAGCGAGCTGCCTATACACCGCAGCATTAGCGAGCTGCCTATACACCCCAACACTAACGAGCTGCCTATACACCGCAGCAGTAACGAGCTGCCTATACACCCGAAACGCCTGTGTGCCCGATCAGACGCGAGAGTAAGATACAAAGAGGGGGGCATCATACGTTGCTTTTTTTTTATTTTTATTTTTATTTTATTTTTATTTTTGTTTTTATTTTATTTTTATTTTTATTTTTATTTTATTTTTATTTGTTTTCTTATTATATTATTTGTCTGTTGCAGCCTCAGCAATGGAGACTGAAAACACAGAAGAAGGGGGCACGGCAGCCACGCCGTGCCGCCCGCAGTCGCAGCAGCTGCTGCTGCGACTGCTGCTGCAGCTGCTGCTGCAGCAGCTGCTGCTGCTGCTGCAGCTGCTGCTGCTGCTGCTGCTGCAGCTGCTGCTGCTGCAGCTGCTGCAGCAGCTGCTGCTGCTGCTGTTGGTGAGAGGAGATGTGTATTTCACTAGGGGTGCCGCGGGTCTCTACCGCCACACAGGCGGCCCCCGAAGAGCAGCAGCAGCAGCAGCAGCAGCAGCATGAGAAAGAGCAGCAGCAGAAGCCGCTGCTGCTGCTGCTGCTGCTGCTGCTGCAGTTGCTGCAGCCGCTGCTGCTGCCGCTGTGCACACTTCGCACAGGGATGCATGCAGGGGCTCAGACGGGCACATGCCACCGTATCTTTGCCGCTAGTTGCTGCTGCTGCTGCTGCTGCTGCTGCTGCTATTGTTGCTGCTGCTGCTGCTATTGTTGCTGCTGCTGCTATTGTTGCTGCTGCTTCTATGTTTGCTGCTGCTGCTGCTGTTGCTGCTACTGTTGCTGCACTGCAGCAGCAGCTCCGCGCGAGTCAGGGGCAGCCCATGCTGCAGCAGTGCTGTCTCCTTGCTGCAAGGAGACAGTTGAGGGCTTCACAGTTTGCTGCTGCTGCTGCTGCTGCTGCTGTTGCTGTTGCTGCTGCTGCTGCTGCGGTTGCTGCTGGTTTCGATTTGTTTGTGTCACAAGTCCATTGGTGCATCCTTCTGCTGCTGCAGTTGGTGCTGTTGCTGTTGTTGCTGTTGCTGCTGCTGCTGCTGCTGCTGCTGCTGCTGTGCTGTCACCTTGCAGCTGAAGAGACAGCGGCTGCAGCAGCGACGTGTCTCCCCCGAGGAGACAACGGAGGGCCTCAGCAGCAGCAAGTTTTGCGTCTCTCCCTGAGCGCAGCTGCAGCAGCAGTTGCTGCTGCCGCAGCAGCAGCTGCTGCTGCAGTTGCCGCTGCTGCAGCTCTGCTGCAACGTCATTCGCCATCAGGCCGTGGGCATCCAGTGTGCTGCTGCTGTGCTTCTCCCCTTCATCTCCTGCTGCTGCTGCTGCTGCTGCTGCTGCTGCTGCTGCTGCTGCTGCTGCTGGGCCTTTGCTTTTGTCTGTTAGCTTTGTCTCGCCGCTGAAGGCCTGTGGGGTTTGCAACAGCTGCTGCTGCTGCTGGTGCTGCTGTCGCTGCAGCTGCTGCAGCTGCTCTAAAAGCTGCTGCTGCAGCTGCGTCGTGTCTCCTAGGGTTGCTGCTTGTCGCAGTGCTGCTGTTGCTGCTGCGAGGTCAGCAAGGGGTTGCTGCTGCATCTGCTGCAGCTGCTGCAGCTGCTGCAGCTGCTGCAGGCCCTTTGCTTCTGTGATTCCTCTGCTGCTGCTGCTGCTGCTGCTGCTGCTGCTTTCGCTGCTGCTGCTGTCTCCGCATGCAGCCCCAGGGAGACAGAAGAGTCTCCTGCTGCTTGGCCTGCAGCAGGAGACATCTGTCTCCTTTGTTTGCTGCTGCTCTGGCGTGCTGCTGCTGCTGCAGCAGATGCTTCGAGCCCCCCTCCTCTCAGCTGCAGTCTCTGCTGCTTCTCCTTCACAGCCGTTGCTGCGTGCTGCAGCCAGCCCCTCAGGCTCTCGCACTGCTGCTGCTGCTGCTGCTGCTGCTGCGTGTTTGGGTACATCTGCAGCAGCATGGGCATCCTGCTGCTGCTGCTTCTGCTGCTGCTGCAGCCAGTTGCTGCTCCTCAACGCCTCTT